CCTTAGGTCATCCCCCTTACATCAAATCCCTCAACCCTCTGTGGCAACATAAGAGGAAATGAGTAAGCTTCATTATGTTAACAATGCCCAAGTATCTCAGTGATGCCAGTAGGACAGGGCTTTTTGTGATCTCTTCAGTTCTGATGGTGGAAGTTTCCCTCAATCCTCACTCAGGGTCTTTACCTTGATTCCTGGCCAGTCCTGGGACTCCTGGTTTTGCTCACCTCAAGCCACCCCTCAGACCAAGGCCCTCACCAACGCCTCCCAGGGCTTCTAGCAGGGCTCAGGTCCATCTCAACCCACTGTTTTGGGATCAGTGATCACCACAGAACTCACTCAGGGTTCCATCCTATATTTCTGACAGAGCCTGAGTTGCTTCTCTATACTGACGTGTGTTCCACAGCCTCAGATCAAGGCTCTCACCGCCCTGAGGCCCCAGAGGAGGAAGTCAGGGAATGTCACATCAGGTTACCCATGTCTGGTCCCTCCCATGGATAACCTCCATATTCAGACTCTGTAGAACCCTCTCTGTTGAGGGCTGGGGTGTGCCCTCAATCCTCATTCAGGATATTCAACTTGACTACTGACAGACCCTGGGTCTTCTATGTCTTCTGACCTGAATTTACCCTCTTAAACCAATGCTCTCATGTCCTTTGGAGCCCTGAACTATAACTGAGGGAATATTCACACTGACAGCCCTGTCTGGAGGCCTCTATGTCCAAGAGCAGACACAAGCCTGTACGTGACCCCGTATATTCTGGGATTTCAGTTCCCCACATGGAGTGTCCTTACATTGGCTCCTGTTTCTTTAATTAAAGGCTTCCTGGAAAATGCCACATCCCTGCAAACCCCTGAGCAGTTTCCCTACTGCAAACGATGCAGAAACTGGGTGCCTGTCCCAGAGTGAGCAGTGATGTGAGATGGAAAAGCTGAAGCACAAGGCAGGGGGCCCAGGACAAGTTGTGGGCTGTCAGAGAAAATAAATGCTGATCTAGTCCTTCTTTTTACCACTCAGACTTAGACTTTTATGTAAATTTGTTCTAAAAGATTTAGTTTCTACAGGGAAGGAACTGGAAGTGCTAATTTTGTGAGCCCCTGATCTTTTCAGGGGGCTGATCTTTTTGGAGGAGTCACTGTGAATCTCTGATCTTCATCTCATGCTCAGCATCTAGACTCTGAGACACGTACACCACGGGAGTGTCTGACCCTGGGCACCTATCCCACAACCTTAATAAGACCCTCTCACCCAGTACCTAACAGTCATCCCCTCACTCAGCCCATACCCTTCCCTATCTCTTGTATCCTAATTTATAATTCCGTCCTACTGAGAGATCAAAGTTTCCCAAGACCCCAAACTGCCCTGCCTCAAGGCATTTACACAAAAGGGATCCCTGAAGTGCTCACTCCTTTTCTACTAGTCCTTAGGTCTTGGAGAGTATCTCCACCTCCTCATTTCATAGCTGCTCTTAGACTCTAAAATCTATGCACAGGGGCTGCGACACCTTTGCCTAAATGTCCCCAGTAGTGGCATGAAGCCTTCCAAGGAGCAGATGTACAATTACTGTTTGGGGAAAATAAGAGCCAGAGAAAAAGAGGTCAAATCATCGCAATTTATTTTCTCCCACATTCTTGAATAAGCTAAACAAATCCAGGCAATTGTATGTTTTACTTCTACCAAAAGGAATAAGGGAAACCAAGAATTGACCACCTTTTATATTTTTCAACCTCTGTTTTGTGATCCCAACTTATTGTTGTGGACGTCTTTAATATTTCCAAAGATTTCCCTATTTCCATACCACGTTAACTAGTTCTGGATTACAGAAAAAGATTCAAGGATTTTCCGTTTGTTTTACACAACACAAAACTCTTACTCCTAAATCTGAAAACACCAATAAATGTATAACGGTGGATTGAGATTCTGACTCTAAATAAACCTTCAATTAAATGGAGCAACATTTGAAAAATACAAAAAATAAAATCTTCCAGCTACTCATGTATAGCAGAAGACACTCACGGGCTCCCTCCAGCCCCACCTCGCCTCCATTACTTAGAAGGTTAACAGCCATTTTCAACAACAAAGTGAAGCATCTGCCTCAGACTTCACTAGGGGTGAGAGAACCTGCTGGCTTTCCCCCTGAAACTGGACCTGCCCTGACATTATCACAAGCCCCAGCCCATTCTCCACCTGCACCACTCTCTTCCTCAATTCTCCAAGTTTCTTCATAGGGGGCTTGGAAGGCACCGGAGTTGGTATGCTTGATCTTGTCCAAAAAGTCCGGGACTTTTGTCTTGGCGGCTTCAGCTTGGGCTCTGGGACTCCACAGGAATTCGTAGCGTGGAGGATCACTGTTGGGCACCTGCTGGTACTCCAGGTACTTTTCTTGAACCAAATCTTTGGTGATGAGCTTCCTGGGCTCCCCAAAGATGAAGTGTCTCTTCCCATCGTAGATCCCCAGCACTTTCAGGAATTCCCACATCTCCTCCTCGGTGGCCCAGTTGCCATTCGTATAGATCATGTCCAGGGGAGTCATCAGGAGCCTGTTCTTTTGAAACCCTCTGCCACCAGTCAGATTCTCTTCCTTGGTGATCTCCAATTTGCTGACAAGGGCATAGGATTGACCTTAGGAGGCGACTTCCTTCATGTCAAGGTCAAAGACCACCTCCATGTGCTCAGAGGCTCTCCTCAGGATC